GGGGGGGGGGGGGGGCAGCTGCAGTTTCTCATCATACAAGTGATCAGACCGCTATAGAGTCAGAACGCTTGTATGTCACAGCCGGTACCGGCTGTTAAAATAGTTTTGCAGGGTTCTGCTCGTGCGCGCGCTAGAGGGTGCACGCGAGTGGAAAAAGAAATCACATAGCTGTATGTTCGCCCGCGCGTAAAAGTCTGCCATCCGCCTGTGTATTTACAGCAAGCAGACGGCAAGTGGTTAATTATGTACAGTATATACACAGTATAAAATATATACATCACTGCTAAATGTGTTACATCATTTTCATAAATGGGTTCATGTAAAATCAGATTTGTACATGAGTTTGTAATCATTTTTGTGTCAGAACAAAAGATATTTCAAGAACCTCAGTCACAACTCGGCTTATTTAAAGTGTATCCACTCCCAAGAACAAAAAAGTTATATATTTTAGTTTAATGGCCCTTGTACCCAGCTGTACCCGCCCCCTCCCCCATCCGTTCCGCCAGTCAGCGCTGGCAGATCGGAGCGGGGAGGGGGGAATCCATCCCCTCCCCTGTCACGGCAGAGAGCCGTGACAGGATCGAGAGGTGAGCGAACGCCGGTATATGTTCGCTCACCTCCCGATCTACTGAGCCGACCTGTGACAGTCTCATTGTCACAGGTCGGCTAGAACTATGAGGTGAGTGAAAAGCACTCATCTCATAGTTCTCCTTTACCTCAGTGGAGAAAATTCTTCAAGTGAACCTCAATAAGCCCTTGATTTTCCTGATCCTTTTCATTTTCCGCATTTCTGCTTTGACTATATTTCTGCTTTATGTCTGTCTGCTCAGTCTGCTCCCAAACACTACGATGTCTAGGTGATACTGTTGTCTCAGCGGCAGAGATGAAAAAAACACAGCCCAATATACACATTATGGGACATGTTTATGAGATACAGTCATTAAAATCTGTAACTGCAAGCATGTAAAAACATGAAAAACACAGTATTACTTTCAGGTAGAGGTCACAATAATAGTCCACTGTGTACTCCGTGAAAATATACAATATAGATGAAAGCGTTCGTTTTTCCATTAAAGTGGAAAATCCTTTTAAAGGGCAGAGAGTCGCTCATAAACACATTAGTCTGCCCTGGAAGGACAACGCATGCACGAGCTGTTGTGTTATCTGTTAGAAATGAACAATTTGTTTTACTGAACTTTGAACGTCCATAAAAACCATAACTTTTCAAAGTGTTCATCATCTAACCAAGAGAAAAAAATATTTAGAAAAGAGAAAATATTATTCTGTGTTCTTGGCAGGAAAAAACAGCACAAAAGGAAACTGATTTGAAAACTGCCAACTTGAAAACTACTTACAAGTATTTGCCAAGTCAAAATATAGTCTGCTTTGGAGTCACGGTTGAGTAGTTCAAACAGCAGCAGAAGAGAATAATGTCTTGTGAAGTTCTTTATTTAGGGCTGAATAATAGTTTCTCTTCTGGAGTCGTTTGCAATCAATTATATGAACTAAATGACACAGGAATGTTAACAGTGGCGATGAGTGGGCTTGGTAAGATGGGAGCAAAGGATAGGGTGACCATAGGGCCCAGCCTGGGAATGTGTGATGTTCTGTCCACTGAGAACAAGGGAAAATCATAAAGCACCCTTAGGCTACATTCAATTATATGAACTAAGTATCATAAATGCCTGAGGCTAGTTATATGAACTAAATGTCACAGTAATGTTAACAGTGGCGATCAGTGGACTTGATAAGATTGAGGCAAAGGATAGGGTGACCATAGGACCCAGCCTGGGAATGTGTTATGTTCTGTCCACTGACAGCAAGAGAAAATCCTAAAGCACCTGAAGTCCCCATTCACACCTTTGCGTTCTGTGGATGTATGTTAAATGCGCTTCAAAGAGCATGCTTGACTCGTGTTCACGAAACATGGCAGAAATGCACTTGCAATGCCATCACTTGCTAATAGCACCCCAAACGTTTGTTTGTCCCATGCGCTAAGGGCTTGTTCACACCATATCCAGTGCGTTCCAGCACGGTTAGTGGCTGAAAGGCACTGGATCGCATAATTCAAACCTCCCATGTTCTGGGGTGGAAAGGGGTGTGGGGGTGCCATTAAAGTCAATGGCACACCTCCCGGACAACAGTGTGATCCCCTGCACTGAATCGCATGGCACAGCAATGCCCACGGTGCGGTGTGATCGCAAACAATAGTGCATGCAAACACGCACAAATGCGACACGTGAACAGCTCCAGGCTATATTAGCACGGGGCTTTAGGCTGGGGATGGGGATTCCTGCAGCAAGGACCTATGGGTTCTTGTAGTAGGCATCCCAGGTGTGTCCATATGTGGCCGCTGTGCCCCTGAAAGTTAATGACAGACTGAAAGCAGCCCCATCTGTCAGCGGTAGTCCGAATGTAATCATTCATGGAACAATTACCTGCAGTTCAGGATAAATGATTGTCCTTGTCGGCAATCTGTCTGCATCCAGGGACAGTTATCTATCCCAAACCGCAGGTAATGGTTCCACGAACAATTACAGATTACAGATCCATCCTCTGTCAGTCTGCCATTTACTTGAACACATCTATGCAGACTCACCTGGGATTCCTGCAGCAAGAAACTATAGGTTTTTGTCGCAGGAATCCCCAGCTGCAGCCTAAAGCCCTAACTGTACATTTAACACTAAGGGGTCTATTTATAAATAACTAGCTGTGCGCATCTATCTGTGTTCAACAAAAGTCCCAAATAATACCCATGAAGATATTTTTAATATGTTATTTCCTGATATTTACGGTAGGTTGTACTTCTTAGGACCAATGTAATATTCCCTAATACCCCAAGAACATTCATTCCTAAAAGAAAATAGCATAAGAACATTCGATCAGAAGAGAAAATAGCCTAAAACGATAGCCTAACAACATTCGATCAGAAGATGGAATACCATAACGCGGTAGTAAACCGCTGTGAGAAGGGTGTGTTTTTGCCTTACCTTACAAGTGTGCCCTCCCTTCTCTATCTAGCACTGTCCGATATATCTTTGTTCCCACGTTCGTTCCCCCATCACCCCCACTTCCGTGTTCCCGAGCATCCTCTTCAGCCATTGGGCTGGCACTGACATTTCATACCTGTGCCTGTGCACACATGTTCACAAATGGACATTCAGTTTCACTGGGTGCATAGCTTTGCAAATATTTTATTAAAATACTCTTTAACCTAAAATGAGCCCTTAACTCTCGACCACCCCTCTAACACTTAGCCCCTGACCTTAAACTCTTCTAACCTTCACCCTAAGACTTAGCCTAAACCCCTACAATGAGCCATGCACACTTAACGTAATCCCTAACATGAGCCCTTACAGGTCAATTCTAAGCAAACAGCTAAACACACAGCTAAAATACATACACGGGAGATGTTTTAGTTGCCAAATGATTTGTAATTTTGTCCTTCCAGTCCTGAGCTTTGTGTAAGCAGCCAGAAATCACAGCCAGGTCGGTGACCTCATTTTTCTCTGCTGTAGTTTAGTAATACAAATTGGTCGCCTCCCTGCTCCCAGCCTGTGATTGGATAATAAAGGATCATCAGCTTCAGATATATTTGCAAATGTATGCTACAGAGACTTTGATTTTAATCATAATTAAATCCTAGAAACAGTTTAAAAAGTTTTTCAGTGCTGGCTAGCTTGACTGAATGCTGGTTATTTGCTAAGTGAGGTGCCCCTGCCACACGCATCTTCTAATTATAATTTGGTTCCAACAGCTGACATTGTAAGAATCATCTTCACACCTTCAACATGTGATAGGTGTTACTCGGCACCATGGCCCAGGTCTCTGCAGCACACATCTGCCCTAAACATAAAAGCTTAAGTAGACTGCAGGAAATCCAACCTGTACTTGATCATCGGGTTAGACTGATTATGCAACGGATTCAGGTCTGTCTGAGTTCTCTCTGTTTATTACTTTGATTACTCCTGCAAATTTCATAGACTGTACTTGTTCTAAGTGTGTCTGTGCTTATTCTACACATCGTCCTTGTTTATTTGCTTTTGTCAGCCATTGCTCTGTCTACCTGTCCAGAGCCTAGACTCTGCTTAAGATCAATATGCCTGTACCTTTTCTGACCATCAGCCAGCTGA